TGGATCGGATCGGATATTCGGATATTGAAAATTAGTATTTGTGATTTACGTCGTTTTCGACGGATACTAAATTTTAGTATTTGCTTTGTTTTGATGCATAACAAATACCCGATATTTTCGGATTGAATCAAAACGGATACCAAATCGGATCGAATCTAAAGGATAATTTTGGCCAGCCCAATCAAATACCCCCTCGCTCTTGGGATCAAATACCCCTCTCTAGTAAAAAAAAAAGAAACGTCAATTTCAATTTCATTAAAAATGCGAATGCCCGAAGGCCCATCACAATGGCAAACGGAAATTACATAGAGAATTGTGGCCAGCTCATTTATCCCTCTTATAAAACTCAAATCTTTTTATTTGCTTTTTTCCTAAACGAAAAAACAATGATAAAAGTACTCAATGCGGGCCTAAAATCCGAAATTAAATGAAAATTTTCCTTAAACTGCACCCACTTATTTCCATAAACTTCTTCTTCTTTTCTACTATTAACTATTTTTTGTTTCTTCCATCCCAAAAACAACAACATTGAATGTTTCCTTTTCTAAATATATGTTAAATATCTCAAATTAATTTACATAACATATTTAATTTTTTTTTATAAACTTGTGGCCCCCTGGCTACCTGTCTGCTTCAATGGTCAAAGCTCGTTTCTTCTCCGGTACGTTAAGTCCACTCCTTGTGTTTGAATTTGCCGGTAAGTTTACTTACTTTACCATCGTTTGTTTCAGTCTGATCTTTGGTGGGTTCACTCAGTTTAGGTTTTCGTGTCCACTCAATTTGATATTGACGCGTATGCTATTGTTTTGGTTTTGATTCACGGTTTCCTTGCGTGGCTTGAATCTCCAACAAGCCCTAGATAACAAATTTCTGACATAGAAATGAATTCTTTGAAGCCATAAACCACATGGCAGAATTAGACTTATTTTGCTGTTATGTATAATTGGTATTATGTCAACATCCTTGATCCAAACTAAGAGTGAACAAATGGAAACAAGAAACAATGAGCACATCAAGGAGGATTCTACTGTAGAGGTTTGTCCTACATTTGCATACATATACACTGTCTATAACTATTAACTGCTTGTGAGTTGAAATTTTACTATGCAGGAACAGATTGCCACCTGGTCTTCAACCCGTGCAAGGTTACGTGAGACGTTACAACAAGTAGATGAAGAATATCAACAAGAATCAAATCTGGTAGTGAGGCGCTAAAGATGTTCTAAAAGAATCAAAGCAGCCAGAGAAGAAAGAGGCGCCGAAGAAGAAGAGTTTGAATATGAGACTGTTATCGCCGAAAGAGAGAAAAAAAGGTGAGGAGCGAGCAGGGTAAGTTGAAAGCGCAGAGGAGTTCAGGGAACCTGATGGATGAAAGTCAAACAACCTCGATCCAAACTTGAGAGTCTCATCTGATATGATTGAAAACAAACTTTTGCTCCTCTAGTTTTGGTTCTGGATTTGATTAACTGATTCCAAGTTTCTAAAGTTTTCTTGATCGGAAACATCTTCTAAATCTGATAAGAAATTCATGAAGAAGCTCCAACTTTACTACACAAGTATATTATTGTCTCGAATTCGAAGTAATTTCTCATAGACAGTCAAATTGCAATGTCTGTTCATGTTTAAAAACTATCTCAAACTTCGTTAGTTATTGCAGAGGTCAAATATGCTCTTACTTCTTTGTCTGTCCAAAAGGAGAAATATCATCAATCTTCAAATTTAATTGTTCCTGTTGTGCAAATTACACAATATTTTCAAACACAGAATTATCAATCATACCATAAAACAGAGAAACCTAAATCTGTATACTTTTTTTATAGTTTCAATCCAAATTTGCTGTGGAACATAAAATGATCACGAGAGTGGTTCGCTGATCTCCAGAAGTTCATTTCGGAGACCTGTGAAGACGAGAGAATCAGTTTCGATGGGTCTAAACTTGATGAGTGCTGAAGGAACAAGTTCTTCGTCTTCTAAAGTTCTCGGTTTCTGTCCCGGGGCTTGAGTATGCGGAATCACACGCCGTTTAACCAACACAGGATCCAGAAGATCAAACTGCAAACTCGGTTCTTTCAAAGCAGAGCTCACAAACTGATAAGAAAACAAAAACCATAGAAATTTCAAAACCAACACTGAGATATAAAAGACCAAATGGTTTGTGTGTGCCAGAGATTTCATATTGTTACCTCATAGAGAGCAATGGTTGGTTCCCATGGAGCAAAGACACCTTGAAGCACAACTCCGTCGGGAAACTGAAATCTTATCATACTTCTTTTGTATCTCGTTCTAGCTGCTTTCGCTTGTTTCTCCCTAAGAGATCTCGGGATCAAAAGCTGTGAATCCGCAAGCTTTTTCCTCCTCAAATCCGCTTCTCTCTTTATTTCATCCGCCGTGAGGCTATAAAACGAATCAGGTACCTCTATTCTTGATGCTACGCTTTCAGGAACCGAAAAGAAGACACGAATCTA